CCAATCTGGATCAGAGGAGAAATGCAAAATTAAAACTGTTTCAAAATGCGTGTTGTGGGGGAGGGGGAGATGCCTCTGTTGCTTATTTCTCAAAAAGTAAGTCCCCCATCCTGGAAAGTTTGAAAATGGTGACAGCCCACCTAAGTTTGAGGGCTTCTTTTCCTCCTCCCCTTCATCCCCATCAACACTGCTGTGATTGTGCTAAAAAGTTCCAGCTGTAAATTTCAGTTCAGCCACTTGTTCTACTTACATGGAGGAGTGTACTGTGGATGATTGATGTAGTAAGCAATCCAAGAAGTGAATCCCCAATAAAATGTACAGCCCTATAATAAAAATAGACTGGATATAATATCAGAACAAATGACTATCTCCAAATTACTTGGCACAACAGGAAAACATGTCTTTAATACTACAGGTATGCAAATTCCTCAAATGAGGGGCAAGTCCAAAGCAAATAACCTATTTTTAAAAAATATTTAGACCACCTCTCAGCCTTAAATGACATGGTTCAAAGCAGTCTGAAGTGGATTGGTCCCAAGACTTCAGACACAGGTCAGACAGCTACTGCCTGAATATTATATTTTTGAACTTCCCTTAAACTCTTCCAGTTCTTTAGAAATAGATGATTTCTGGAAGGCAAGCAGAGAAGGTGGTGTTACAACTGATGAGTCTGGCTTCCAGTCAGGGAAGGCCTTTACCAGGGCTCTTGCTTTATATTTGGCACTTACTTTTTGAATCAAAGGACACTTCAGCTTTGTCTGCTACAAAGAAGTACTTACAAGGTGAATTTATCCCAGGTTGCCATTTAAATAACTTGACATTATTGTGGGGAACCCTTCAGCCTTTCTTACATTGAGTGGGTCAGGCAGTGGGCTGACAGCAGATGCAGTTTCAAAGCAATCTTTCTAGCAATCTTAGTATTTCCCTGCTTGAGACGTATGAGAAGGGGGATGCTTTCATTGCACAGTGGACATCAGGAAAAGGAATCTGGGCAGATTGGTGATCTTCCATTTAAAAAAAAGAATTTTTAAAAATTTGGTGAAAAAAATGTGGTTGCTGCCCATATTTTGGCCCTCAAGTTTCTTTGGATTAATTACATATCCCAGAACATCAGTCTGCCCATTAAAAAATTGCCCTTAGCAGCTGCTTAAAATTGCCCACATTGCTCTCCTTGACTTCCACCCCCGGTTCACTCAGTCTTCTATCCTTTCCCTGGTTTAAAGATCATTGCTAAAACTGAAATACAAATGCTGTACCTCTTCAGAAGATTCACCAGCAGTGCTGATGACATTTACTTCACTTGTTATTTAATACCTCTTGAATACCTCAGTGTAATGCAGAACTGCAGTGTAATGCAGTGTAATGAAATGACTTTTAAGAGAATCTTAATCGTCTGAGGTTAATCTGGCAAGATGAACCTGTACCATAGTTCTGTCAAGCATTTATTTGCCTCCCGTGGGACTGAAGTGTCACATATGTTCAGCATGTTGTATGATGTTTTCAACTAAGTTGCCTTTTAAAAACCAAGCAAGTATGGTGTAGACTAGGATTAAGGAGACCCAGGTCCCTATTTATTTATTTATACATACATACATATATACATACATACATACTGGGTTGGGCCCAGATTTAGGTGTGCACCACTGGGATGGGAGTGTAGACTTCTCCATTCCATCCTTCTAGCTCCCTAAACATGCTACACAAAGGGCTGGGGACCCTGATGAAAGGGGTGAGCCTTCGTGTAGGGGGAATCCCTGAAAATCAGGCAGAGTCATCTTCTGTGAGTGGTCTTTCCAGTCATAAAAAACAGATTCTAGATCTACTGCAATACTTATAAGCTTGATCCCCAATACCAAATTTCTTAAGATGGCTTATGATACTCATGAAGTTCAGTGGATTACCTTGGACCAGTCAGTCTCTCAGATTAACCTACCTGACATGGTTGTTAGAAGGATAAAATGGTACAAAAGCAATGAACAAATTAATAATATATTCTTTGCCTTTTTCTCATTCAATTCTATTGTGTAACATGTTACATATGAAAATCACCTTGATCATATTTTTCAGGGGAGTATGACCTTCTGAAATCTTATGCACAAAGAGTGTCTCCAGAAGATGTCTGATATAATGTAAACAATGACAGATGCAGGCCAAACTGTAGAAATGACAAAGAGAAAGAAGTAAAGAAGACAACAGTGACACTGCCACTTTTGATGCAGCCATGTTTATATCTTGGCTACTGTAGCATCATATCAAAGGTCCTTAGTAAGCCTTGAACCAGCTACCACAGTTTGCAGTGTGGGAATTATGGGCACTGACCCTTCCATTAGGCAGACTGAAGACAGTTGCTTCAGGCAGAAGAAGCTGGGAGGCAGAAATCATAACTGCCTTGCTGTCCCTCCTGGTCTCCCTGGCTGCTTCTGCCATTGAAGGAAATTGCCCACTACTCCTCTAAATTTATTTATGAATTCTGTGGTCCATTTGTAAATGTAAATGAAATGAAAAATGTGAAGACATTGACTCATGCAAGGGCACATAGATCTAGTGGACAAAAATATGTCAGACTGCCGTGTTCCCAAAAGGAACCATCCACTCCTTTTGCTTTCATTGCAGAATGAGAGTGCAGTGAGAACTGAAAAGTCACTTTGGATGTAATCTGCAAAGCAAAGTTGCGCAGAATATAGCATGTACACCTCAAAAGACTCTTTACGCTGTGTTAGCTGTTAATGTTTCCCACATAATGTTTCCCACATAAGGAGCACTTTGGAGGGGATGCTGAGAACTCCATAGTGATACCTGGGCTTCCCTCATGCAACTGCAGTAAAGCAACATCTGTAGGGCTGGGATCCTCCAAGCTCAGTGGCTCCAATGGACACTAAGAATGACAGTCTCCAACATGGCCTGTCCTCCTCACTTTTGTTCAGTGTTTCTCCTCCTCCTAGCCTCTAGCCTTGCTCTTTCTTTCCATGCTGTTTCCCCTCCCTCTCAGCATCCATCTTCATGATTTCTCTCCCCACCCATTCCCTTTGAAGTTTCTGATCCGAGCCAATACCTTCACTGTTTCTCCCCCCTCACCCTCCCTCCCACACACCCCTTTCAAATTCTCCTTTGACAAGTCAGATCCCTTAGCAATCTCTATGGAATAAGCCACATCTATTGTGTGGGAGTGCCCAGAGAAGTGTATCAAAGTTCCAAAACTGTCCATGAGTCCAAAAAAGCTGGGGACTCCTGAAGTAGGCTAAATATAAAACTAATGCCCATTGGATGGAAGTTTTTGTTACCTATTTATGAAGCCCCATTGGTATCTGTGGCACTCCCATATCTTTTACTGTTTAATGGAGTGGTCCGTTGATGATGAAAAACAATGTTTGGGACAGGCTTCCCCAAACACCCTCCAGGTGTTCTCTAACCACGTTGACCACTCACCATGTTGAGTAGGGCTGATAGGAACTGAAAGCTGAAACATCAGGAGGAAACCAGGTTGGGGAAGGCCAGCCTAATCAATAACTCGAGCTATGAATTGCTATAGGTAGCAAAATTACATGCAGAAAACATAGTGGGGCATGGCAATTGAGAGTTCTGAAAGTGTCTCTCTTGATCATTTCTGCAGGCTTTTAGCTCATGATGGATGAACTTAAAAAACAAAATGGAAGTGAAGCATAAGTCACAATGCCCATTTATTGCAGCTATATTTAACAGCTTTGTTTTGTTTCTTTAGAGACTAGTTAAAAGACATGGATGGAAGAAACAATTTAATTTGTGTTGCTTTTTACTCAATGCTTTGCCCATATGAAAAATATACAATTTCAAGATTAAATAATTTTCAGGAAACGCAGCTACTTGCTATTCCATCCATGCATCCATCATAGGGTATCCAAATACATTTCCCTTTTCAATAGGTCTATAGAGGAAATATACCACAGAGTTTTTCAAATGATATCAACAGAAACACAGAGAATATGTTTCAAAACATGTGAGATTGCTGGAGGCGAAATGGCACATACCATTACTCCTAGAGTATCTGTTGACCTACCCATTCTTGCTGAAGCAGAAGGCACAAAACTCGTTAGCCTATCAGTGGGAAGCTTTTTGAAAGAAAGATATTAAATTTACTGCCAGTCAAGCATTAAGAGAAAATTGGTACAAGATGTTTTATCCGTGGTATATTACCCCAAAATATATTGGAGAAATAAATAAGTATTATAACAGAACATGTCAGAAATGCAACAAGGTGGACAGAACTTTCTATCACGTGTGGTGGATATGTAAAATAACACAAAAATTTTGAAAATAGATCCATGCAGAAAATCTTCAAAATTAAGTTTCCTATGAGTCCCAAGAACATGTTTTTGAATATCGTCCCAGAGACCCTTATTTAAGTATATGACTACAGCAACAAGAATTGCAATAGCTTCTAAATCGAAATCACCAGAGCCCCCAACTATTGAGGAACAGAGAAACAGATTAGCAGAACATGCAGTGATGGAAAAGCTAACTGATTACATAAATAGAAGACCGTTAGAAGAATTCAATGATAAATGGAAATTTTATTGTGCTTAGCATGATTAATGGAAGTTCAGGGGAGTTAGGAAAAGAAAACAGAAAGCAGTATCTGTTGATGTATAGAATAATTATTTCTTTTTGGTAAATTCTCATAAAGAGTGGGAAGATAGAAAGAAAGTCAGTTTGTGGGGTTGTAATATTAGCTGTATTTGTTTAAAATGCTCTTGGCAATCTCATCTATTTTGTTTATCTTGTTCACTTTAGTTTGTTTTGTATATACTAGTTTTTTTATTCTACATTTTTCTATGTATTTGTATATGTTAAGAAAATAAAAATTAAAAAACTCCTCAGCCTAGTTCAGAGGGAACAGCAACATTTACATGGCGACACTGCATATGAGAACTGGCAGTGCTTCTGTGTCACACATAGGTACTGTGATAGGGAGGTTCTTGCTTGGTTCTTGGTCTAAGAACTTGATGTAAACTACCACATTTTCAGTAATGTTGGCATGCATTTTCAAGGATGTTCTTCACATCCTTGATCTGGATACAAACGACACAACACTTGCCACTCACTTGTCCATTTCCAAGCTTCATACTACATTTCAAAGACCAACATTCCCCCTGCCCACCACAAGCATACACTTCCAAAATAAGAAAGACCATGAGGCCTGCACACAGCTACTGAGATTTGTACAGTTCATTTACTAAAGTACAGAGCATCCCAGTCTTACAGATCACTGTAAAGCTGCAGAAACCCCTATAAGTTGGGGAAAGGAGATTCATGAACCAAAGCCATCCCACTTGGGATCTCAGTCCAGCTCTCTAGGGTGGCCAGGATGGTTCAGTCTGCTTCTCTTGGCTCCACCCCCCTTGACCCAACAATGGATTCTTTTGGTGTTTTTCTGACTTTCATGGAAGCTTTTCCCCATTTGAAGAGGTTAAAATTCCCTTCCTATGGTTTAGTGGTAGGCAGTAAGGGGTTCAACAAGCAGATATTTGGAGCCCTGTTCCTTTTGCTTTTTGTCCCATCCACAAATGGAATGTGGCACCTGAGAACCTTACAACAATAGAATTTAGCTCTTGTGCTCAAGGAAATTCAATGCCCCAGTACAAGGGTTGATTTCAGTACAAGGGACCATATCACAATGGCAAGCCTAGCAACTCCATAAATTTCAAAAGCACTCCTGAAGGGGTCTCCATGACAAAATGGTGCTACATGTGGCCTGTGGGCATTCAGCCTTTTGCCCAAATGATCCTGCATTCACTCACATCGTGACTGATTCAGAGAGGTACTAAAATGTTAGTATTCTTATCAAAGATCAACATTCCAGAGCTATTTGGAGTAGCAGGAAATAGATTTTCTGTTCCGACACCTCCAACTAGACACTACATGTATAGTGTTCTCATGGCACTCTTCAAACAGGAAAGAGTGCTTCTAGAGAGCCAGACTAGGCTGGAAGAGCAGCAGCATATTTCTTTGTTTCCTTCACTCATTTCTTTCTCACTGATGTAATGCATTTGGAATGTAGGGTAACACTACTCCAGGACATTTTCAGAGCAGGAATGATGACACCATCTGTCAGAACACTGAGATCATTTACACTCTATGTTTTAGCACATGAGCTACATGATAATGAGGCTGCCCATTTTTGACATAATTAAAAACAATCTGCAAAAATTGTCCATCAGCAGTTAAGCCAAATAGGAAATACCTCTTATGAAAAACCTAACCTTGCAACTTTCCTTGTACACATGTCTGTCTTGCATGTTAAATACCCAGTTTTGTTCCTCTCCTCATATTTCATGGTATTTGTAAGGGGGTTTGGAGGATTGTAATGAACAGACACATGCATGTTTAGATGCACATCATTTATTTTACAAATGCATGCACACACCATGGTTTTAAAAGTTTAAAAGTTACCAAACCACCCTGGGTTGGAGAGGTTTGTTGATGACATCACAGGCACTAGCCAATAGGTGCCAAACATGCCCAGCATGGAGAGAACCTGGATTTTTAATCAGAGCTTACTTTAGGCCAGAAGAAAGCCCAGTAGGCTGGGTTTTCAGGTCTGTGAAGATATGTCCAAACCACTTCCAGTCCCCTTCATTCTGCATTATCAGATGACTTTATACCACCAGCATACATTCTGTTCTGTAATTCAACTGACTCATTCTTTTACCATATTGTCACAAAGTGTCTGACGTAATTTCAACTTGCTATCTTTTCATTGTGCTGTTTTTAAAATTTAAAAGAAAAATGGCTGCAGTGTCAAAGTCAAATTAGAAGCTCCATAGAAATAACTGGGAGGGTCAATTTTGTGATCCCAAATAATTCAGATAAAATTGGCCTAATTTTAAAGCTAAGATTCTGAGCTAAAACCTCCAACAAACAGAATGAAAATCTACTGAGGAAAAGCCATGCTGTGATTATTTTAAAGTTAGTTGTCCAAAACCATTGTCTTGCAAAGAAAGGGGCCTGCTAATATTATGCAGATTTTCTTGGTTTGCATAACCTCAGAAAAAAATTAACATATTAATTGCCGCTGCTTGCTGATAACTGAAAAACATTCTTATGATGACTGAAACTCCTCAATGAAAAATTTCAGCCAGAACAAAGGTTTTTTTACTTTTTGTTTGTTTGTTTGTTTTTGCCTCAGACACTTTTTCCTGGGGTTATCAAGTCACCCCAGAAGCAGTATTAGTTAGGGTTTTATTGCAGGATTTAAACTTGAGATAAAGTTAAATTTGTCTTCTCCCTAAAAGGGGATCGTCAACAGTATCAATGAATGCAGACTACTGTTACTCACTGAACTACAGGATGACGTAAACTTCTTGCACTCTCCTTTGCATCATAAATACTTGAAAAACGAAGGTAAAAGAGCAGATAGATTAGAAGAGGGCCAGTATATTCAGTAAGGAACACCTGGAAGTATAAGGAGGTGGAAGTTAAAAAAACTGTCCTGAGTGATTATCGTTGTTGTTTACTCAGCGACCAAAGATAGCCACCCTAGCCCTTCAGTTTAAAAAAAGATCTAAGATCTTGGGACTGGGGAGGAGAAATCCACAATCCATAGTCAGATAACACCTTCATTAGGACAAATAACAATTTGAGCAAGCTTTCAATTTCTCTAGAACTCTTCACCAAAAACTAGGGCTAGACCAACACTAAGCATTTTTACCGGTGTTGCATGTCAAATGATGTTCACCCCAAACACCTCATACTTTTAGCCAGATTTCTTCAGAACAGTTCTATCATGATTTTTAAAATGTGTTGTTGCTTCCCCCACCATGCGTGTCTGTCTGTCTGTCTGTCTGTCTGTGCGTATCTATGTGTGTCTGTCTGTGCATGTATCTCAATGCTAAACTGAGGTTCCAGAGCCAGGAAACATTGCTTTAATAGCTGGGGTTAGTGAGAAGACTTCAACCTCAGGGCTTCAGACAAACCAGTGGCTCCAAAAAACCCAAAAAACCCTTTGGTGGCTTTCCTGCCTCCTTGTCCTGTTTTCCCCAAACATGGATTCTCTCTCTCTTTCTAACTTACCAGTAAACTGGAGAGTAAATACAATGCTGTTTCTAGCCTCCCCTCCTCTTAGAATAAATAAAAAACTAGCTGAAAACAAGCTAAATGTTTGAGATCCAGTGTGGTGTAGTGGTTAAGGGCACAGGACTGAGACTGGTCCCCATTCAGCCACAGAGCCAACTGAGTGTTCGTGGGCCAGTCACAGATTCTCAACCCAACCTACCTCACAGGGTTGTTGAGAGGAAAAGATTGAGAGCAGGAGGAGAATGATGTAAGCCACTAAAAGTTCATTGTATGAAAAAGTGGGATATAAATATAATAAATAAATGATACTCAGAAATAAATCATTGATTTAATAGCACTTACTCTTGGAAAGCCAACATGGGACAGGGGTTGCACCTGCTTTCATGGATTGCTTTTTGTTTGAGGGGGATAGGAGTACTGCTAGTTTCAACCTAGTGGAGGTGGGAGGGCACTGGCAGCATCTCAGTCTTCCCCTGAACTATACCTGTCCCCTTCTCTGTGATTTTTCATGAGGGGGCAGGAGAAACTGTCCATTTTTTTTTCTTTAAAAAAATCTCTGCTTGTTTGCTCCTTTGCAAGAGGAAAAAAATCTCTTTCTGTTTACAAGACTGTTTGAAAAACAACAAAACACTGTTTTTAAAGGGCCATTTCCCCTACACACGTCACCTTTTCAGAACTTTTCAATCTCTTCCTATTTCTCCTGCAATTGCATTTGTGTGTGACATAAGATCACACTTTCAAGGCAATAAGAAATTGCTATATGCATTAGCATGGGCCCAACAGAGGTAAATTTAGAAACAGAAACAAAGTGAGTCAGAAGAGGCTTCCCAGGCCATCTAGTCTGACCCCCTGCTCCAGCCATCTCCACTCATGCAATCCCCAACATGTGGTTGTACAATCTTTCCTTGAACACCATCACTGATGGGGCCTCAACCACCTCCCTTAGAAGCCCATTCCATATCCTAGGGGTCGTAACCATCAGGAAGTACTTCCTGACCAACCTGAAGCCTCATTCCTTGAGCTTTGCCCTGTCCTGCCCTCAATTGCAAGGAAGAACAGAGTTTTGTATTTATGTGTTTTGCATAAATACTTTGATAGAGGTCCCTGTGTAAGAAAATGGGATCTAGGTGATGTAAAAGGCAAGAGAAGGGGAAAGAAACAGAGCTGTTCAAAATGTAAGCCATCTGTTTCTTACCTCAGCCCCACCCTCTTACACAATCTAGCCTATAAAGGATTTCTGGAGAACTTGAAAGCTTATACAATCTTTTGTGGCATTTTGGTTGGTTCTAGTAAACAGATTGCTTGAGTAAGGATTCTGGCTCCCCCACCCCTCCCTGGATTTGGGATAAGAAAAGTAAGAGTTACATTCCTGGGCAAACATTATAGTTGTCTGAATCTTTTCAGCAAAATCCAGAATGAAGTGCAATAAACCAATAGTCAGAGACAGCAGATTTACCAGTTAAGTGTAAGGAATTGCATAATCAAGGACACCTACTGTTCGAAGGTTTACTGATATGTCAACAGTTAGATGAATGTATGCTCTACAGTGCCCTTCCAGCCACAATCAGCCACACATCTGCATGACTTTGTTGTTTGTGTTTGCTGAAAATTTTTCTCTTGAGGCCAGCTTTTCTTGATTAATGACCAAATTCCTGCCACTGTTTTTTCTTGTAATTTTTTGTACTTTAACCTGTTTTTCAACACTCTGGTATCTTTTGACATGGTGAAGCCATTATAACCTCTGTAATGAATAAACAAACAATAAATAACTACCATAAATTCTTAATTCAACTTCTGGGTTAGAATCCCAGTGAGCCACCTGCTTGGGCCATGAACTAATTTGAATGGGTGACAGAAGGGAGAGAGATGTCTTCCTTTCACTAAATCAGTGATCCCCAACCTTCTGGATGTGAAGGCCGCATTAGACTGCCCAATGCCTAAACAAGCCACATCTTAAATCAAAATGTAACAAAATTAACCTACCAATTTAGATCAAAAGTAAACATTCAGAGATAATGAAGAAATGTTAGCTTGAATGCAATCCATTTTGGAAAAATATTTTACTGTGGAATCCTTTTATCTAATTAGTGTAATTTTTGTGGCTGTTTTCTGTTAGCCAATGCATTATTGTCAGCCAAGGCATTTCCTGTTAGCCAAGTCAAGGTTTGTGACAGTCACCCTTAAAATGTCATGTAGATGTTCATCTGAAAGTCTTGATCTACACTCGGATTTAACCATTTTAATCTTGGAAAACATTTGTTCACAGATTTATGTGATACTAAAGATTGTGAACATGCCTGTAGCAAATTTCTTTAGGGTGATAAATATATCAGGTAGATCACAATAACAATCTAATGACTATTTTCTTTGTAAATGTCTCTGAGATTATCACTGGCTTGCAAATCAACTAGTTCCATCTGAAAAATATTACTTGCAACTTCTGACCTTACTTCCAATGAACTCTGAAACATTCTAATTTCCTTTCCATGCTTATGGCAATCAGTGAATCTGATTTTGAATTCCACCAGCCTTAAGTTCAGTGCTTTGATGTGTCCTTCCAACATTGAATTGTAAATTCCCATACTCAAATTTTAGGTCATTGCAGGATGAGACGTTTGAAAAGTTACTTTCACTAACTTGCATCACAAAAATATCTAGTTTTGCTTCAAAAGCTTTCATTTCAGAATACATGTCACACACAAGCTTTCCTTTTCCCTGCAACCTTAGATTCAATGCATTCAGATGTTCTGTGATATCAGTTAAGAAAGCCAAATAAAAAATCCATGCAGGGTCAGAAAGTACTTGACCGTTTTCCTTCTCCTTGACAAAGACATCAACTTCATGAAGAAGACTGAAAAAAATGTTTGAGTACTTTGCCTCTGCTAAACCACCTGACTTCATCTATCTCTGAGAGATAATTTTGAAACTGGTGATGAGTAAGCCATGACACTTGATGGCTAATGCTGAATACAACAGTATGCATCACACTTTCCCACTGAAGTATCTTACTACGTACACAAGGCTTACTGATGGATGATGCAGTGAAATTGCATGGAAAATGTGCCGCTTAATTTCACTATCTCTTCATTGATTCTTGAAACTACACCAGTTTTACTTCCCATCACACCTCTTGCACTATCAGTTGTGATGCTTTTCAACTTATCCCAACTCAGATCAAAGTTTTCTTCTGATTCACACACCTTCAAGAATATGTTTTATGCAGTTGTAGTGTCTTTCAAACTCTGCAGTGCACACAATTCTTCTGTAATTCTGAAGTTGGAATCTTTCCCCCTGATAAATATTAGTAGTTGAGCAGTGTCTACAATGTCATAGCTCTCATCTAATACCAAAGGAAAAAATCAAAACATTTTGTCTTGACAATCAGTGACATGGCAGCTCTTCTTCTAGTTCTTCAACATGCCTGGTGACTGTAATTACAGAAAACTGACACAGGAAACTAGCACAAGATACCTTATCAGGGCACAGTTCCTCCATTACTTTAACCATGCATTTCTTAACAAATTCACCATCAGTGAATGGCCTGCCACTCTCAGCTAAGCAATATTCAGCAACATGCTAGCTGGCCCTCACTGTCCACAGGTTCTTCTCAACATGCTTTCTAAAACGTGCTGCAAAAACATTGACTTTTTAAGATAATTTATCCTGTTCACTCACACCTCTCCTTGATATATTGAGTAGCTCTTGTGACTGGATTCAAAGTGCCTTGTAACAATGTACTTCTTTAACACTGAGACAAATTTCAAGGCATATCAGGCAAACTGATTTATCCTTGTTTATAACAAAGTATTCAATAGTCCATTTGTCTTTAAAGACAAGGTGCTCATCTGCAATTTTTCACTTTCTTTTGCAGACATCTTCTTACAAAATTTTTAGCCAAGCAGCATTGGCAGAGTGTCAATTTTATCCCTGAATAAATAAAAATATGAGAACTATAGTTTTAGGAGTCTTACTCCTCCCTTTCCCATCAAATCCATCCCACCCTGGCTGCTGTTAGCTGGGAGGAGCCTTGATGGGTTCTAGCAGAGCTCTAGTTCTGAGGGAAAATTGTTGGATTAATATTGCAGACTACCGCTTTATCTGGGGGTGAAAGCAGCTAGCATGCCATTGAGAAACTTTTGTATCAATTTTTGTTGTTCAGTTGCAAAATTGTGTCTGACCCATCACGACCCCATGGACAACATTCCTCCAGGCTATCCTGTCCTCCCCCATCTCCCGGAGTCCACCCAAGCCCACACCCACCTTCCTCAGACAGCCATTTTGCTTTCTTGCATTTCTTTTTCTTTGGGATGGTTTTATTTGCTACCTCTTGTACAATGTTGTGAACCTCCATCCATAGTTCTTCAGGCACTCTGTCTACCAGATCTAATCCTTTAAATCTATTTGTCACCTCCACTGTATATTCATCAGGGATATGATTTAGGTCATACCTGAGTGACCTAGTGCTTTTCCCCACTTTCTTCGATTGAACCCTAAATTTTGCAACCAGAAGCTCATGGTCTGAGCCACAGTCAGCTCCTGGTCTTGTTTTTACTGACTGTATACAGTTTCTCTGTCTTTGGCTACAGAGCACATAGTCAATCTGATTTCTGTGCTGACCGACTGGTGATGTTCATGTGTAGAGTCATCTCTTGGGTTGTTGGAAAAGAGTGTTTGCTATCACCATCGTATTCTCTTGACAAAATTCTACCAGCCTGTGTCCTGCTTCATCTTGTACTCCAAGGCCAAACTTGCCTGTTATTCCAGTTATCTTTTGGATTCCAATCCCCCATGATGGTAAGGACATCATGTTTTGGTGTTAATTCTAGAAGGTGTTGTAGGGTTTCATAGAACCGGTCAGCTTTATCCTGTTCAGCATCAGTAGTTGGAGCGTAGACTTGGACTACTGTGATGTTGAATAGTTTGCCTTGGATTCGAACTGAGTTCATTCTGTCACTTTGGAGATTGAATCCCAGTACTGATTTTCCTACTTTTTTATTGACTATGAAGGCTACTCCATTTCTTCTGAGGGATTCTTGCCTGCAGTAGCATACCTGATGGTCATCTGAATTAGATTCACCCATTCCTGTCCATTTTAGTTCACTGATTCCTCAGATGTTGATGTTCAGTCTTGTCATCTCAAGTTTGACCACATCCAGCTTAACTCAATTCATAGATCTTACATTCCAGGTTCCTATGCAGTATTGTTCTTTGCAACATTGGACTTTCCTTTCACCACCAGATACATCCACAACTGAGAGTCCTTTTGGCTTTGACCCGGTCGATTCATTATTTCTGGCACTACTAGTACTAGCCCTCTGCTCTTCCCCAATAGCACACTGAACACCTCACTTGAGGGGCTCATCTTCCGGCATCATATCTCTTAGCCTTTTGGCACTGTCCATGGGGTTTTCATGGCAAAGATACTGGAGTGGGCTGCCATTTCCTTCTCCAGTGGATCACGTTTTGTCAGAGCTCTCTCCTATGACCTGTCTGTCTTGGGTGCCCCTGCATGGCATAGCTCATAGCTTTACTGCTCTATGCAAGCCCCTTCACCACGACAAGGCAGTGATCCATGAAGGCATTGGTATCAGTTAGGCACAGCCATCTTACTACATTGGCTAGGGCAAAATATAATTAAAATTTGCTACTTGACATTGGTTAGGGGAGGAAAAGAGTACACTGAAAGAACAGATAAAAAGAGAGTAGCAACAATGGGGGAAACAGCAGGAAAGTATATTATCTAATATATTCAGTTTCCTGACCAATGAAATTAAAATATGATGGCACCAGACCTAACTTAAACACAATGTACTTGTATACATGGCAGAAACAGAAAAGGAGAAAATGGTTTTCTTAATTCGCAATTCCATAAATACCAGAGATAATCTTCAGAATATAAGTGTCATCTGCCTCAGTCATTATTTTCAAGAACTCACCTTGCATTGATGGTGGTGACTCAGAATTTTTGGTTATATTAAGGACCTCTTCTGAGTTCTGAGTTGTCAGAAAGATTATGATTAAGTGATCCATGATGGCCCATTCTTCATTTTTCTTTTATTCTGTTTTCTTTGGACTGCTACAGTGTTAGTTGATGCTACTGTTGGTGGCAACTTTGAGTACATGCAATAATTAAAAATCATCTCCTGGTGATTAGAGTAGGAAACTTATGTGAACTGGAAAAGTGGTTCATTTCTTTTCTTTTCCAGGTTATTATACCACATAGACACATGAGACAGATGAACCTGAAAAAATGGTTGAATACTGATTTCTCTGGACATTGGAACAGCTAATGGCAGCTTTATTTCTCAGTTTCAGCATGACAGCCGTGCATGCAATCAAGGAAAATGTATCTTTGCTTGGTGCTCAGTGTGGCAGGAACATGGCTGGAAAGGAACTTAGTATATCTGTAGCATGTAACAACTGTAAACGTCTCTTACATTCATCCCACACAATGGCTAGCACTGAGTTGGCATATCAATATGTATCATTTCAAGTAACCAATCATATGAAGCATTTCCATGTGGCAAAGCTTCTAAGACCATTTCATATGAGGGCAGCACTTTATAGGGAGCCTACAGTTGTATCATCATTGCATGGGCTTACACTAACACTCCAGCTCATTGATAGTAGCCACTAGTGGACAGAATTCTGCTGTAAGCAACTTAGGTTTCCCAACTCTCTTCAGATTAAACCAGCATAGCCAGTAGTGAGGAATGACAGGAGCTAGAGAGCCATAAGTTGCCCTCTTCTACAGTACTAGAAAATCCAAAGCAAAAGTTGGCATCTAACTTCAGCAATGGATTCCTGAAAACACTTTGAGAGAGTTCCTTCACATTTCTATGAAAAAGCAAACTGGGAAATAGGACTCCTTGACCATTTTACAGCAGCCAAACAGAAACATCATACTTACTGTGGTCCAGGTGACCTGCTGACCCATGTCTGTGAAATACAGTGTAATGATAGAAGAAGCTGCAAGGCTCTTTATGTTGGCAGAATCTTTCAAGTAGGGTCCATCTATAGTAAGAAAGACACAATAATAGATAGTAGCTCAAACAGTGCTTCTGTGGAAAGCTTGATGGAAAGAAATCAACTATTAATTTCTTGACATATGGCTAAATACATTGGTAAAATATATAACACTATCAAAATGGTTTCCTGTTACATGAAATAGGTAATAGGTACCAAGAGACCAGAACAAACTGGACTTAGAATACTCAACAAGCCTGTAATGAGAAGAGAGTACTTATCTGGAAACACCACATTGTGTGCACTATAATGGCCATGCCTCTGATGCTTCTTACTTGGGTATTTTCCTTTCCAAGTCAAAGTGTGTCCATAATGCACTTTTTAGTGTATCCCGCACCCTAGAAGACCTGTTCATACATTCACTGAGTGTGTTAAATATCATGTCCTGGCACAAGCAGAGTTAAGGATTTTACAGGCAAGTAAGAGGGTGCTTGTATAAGAGGGTGCTTCTTCTTGTTGTTGTTTCAACTTATATCCCACTATACTAGTTCAAAGATTCTCTAAGTGGATTACAATATTACATAAAATAAGGATATTACATAAAATAACAATAATAAAAACAACTAACAATAAAACAGGTATATGCAGCCATGGTCAGATATCAATGTTAAAATATATTAAAGCTAAAAAAAAGAATGAATATCATCCAAATATAAAATCATTCTTTAAAATGTCTGGAGAAGAGGACTGTTCTTGCCTGGTGCTGAAGATTGTAAAGATGGTGCCAGGTGCACTACTTTCAGCAGGTCATTCCATAAAGAGCCAGAGTGGACAATCTGCCAATCCAAATTCTTATGGCACTTTCCCATTATTAGCACAATCTCATGCTCTGTTTCTCTGCTGACCAGCAAGTACAGTGGTTCCTCGGTTTATGAATGCCTCAATTCATGACCAAATCAGATCATGAACAGACATTTTGGCAAAAATTTTGCCTCCGTTCACAAACTCCGCATCGGGTGACAATCACAATTGCAGCCATGTTCCCGCACAAACACAACTGTGATCGTGGCCATCTTCCCCACATGAACACTCCAAACAATAACCTTCTCCCCACCCACCATGAAGGGGAGCAATGAGGGCATGCTCACCTTGGTCAAGGCCTTTCCAGCTTCTCACCACTGACCCGCTTCCAAGCTGGAGGACAGTCTCTCACAGGTGCTCACCCGGCTCCAGGAGGGGAGCAGGAGCAGGAGGCTGGAGAGGCAGACACGGGACGGCTCCCCTGGCCAGGAGAAGGCCACAAGGAGGGAGGTAAGGGCTGCTTTCCACAGGCCGAGGCGAGGAGAGGTAAGGGACAGGGCCACGGCCAGCCGAGCGGGGTGCCTCCTGTCTCTCCCCACCACGGGGGAAAAGAAGCATGGTGGCCACTCAGTGGCAGTGACTTGCCCCGAAAAGGCTGTGGCGGAAGCGCAGGAGCCGCGGCCCTGCTCCTACTCTGCCTTGACCTGTCCACCTCCGGGCTCGGCAAGGCAACCATGGCTTGACCCACAGCCTGGGGACATGGCTCATAATTTTGTGGTTTAAAAAAAAATACGTATTTATTTATTTAAAACGTTTATATGCCATCCTTTATGTATAACATAACGTTATGGTTCAGAACAGTTAACCTTATTTACATTGAACCTTATGGGAAAATTTGACTTGGTTCATGACCATTTCAGGTGGTGACCAGAATCATGGAATGAATTCAGTTCGTTAACCGAGGTACCACTGTATGCTAACAGGGAAAGAACCATATTGTCTTAGCTAGCATACCCCATGGATTTACATGGATTGCCTAGAAGCAGAAGAATTTTCAGTCCATTCAGCATAAACATAGAACATAGAAACAGAGCAACTCAGAAGTGGCCCCTCAGGCCATCTAATCTGACCCCGGCTCCAGCTGGCTCTGCTCACAACATGCCTACCATGTGTATGTCTAGCCTCTCCTTGAACACCCTCACTGATGGGGCCTCAACCACCTCCTGTGGAAGCCCATTCCATACCTTTGGGGTCCTAACTGTCAGGAAGTATTTCCTGGCATCCAAATTGTACTTGGTTTCTTGCGTTTGGCTCCGTTAGAGCATGTTCTGCCCTCCTCTGCAGGGGAGAACAGGTCTTTACCCACCTCCGTGGGACAACCCCTCACATACCTATATGTCGCCAACAGATCCCCTCAAAGTCTCTTTTTCTCCAGGCTGCAAAGACCCAGTTCCCTCAGTCTTGCCTCATATGGCTTCCCCTACAATCCGGCCACCAACCTTGTAGACTTATACTTCACTGACTCTAACCTGGCTATATTCTTCCTGTAATGAGGGGCCCAGAACTTAACACAATACTCCAGTTGCAGCTGCACCAGAGTCGTATAGAGAGGTCGTAATACCTCTCTCCATCTAGAAGCCAGGTTTCTGGCTATGCCACCAAGAGTGCATTGGTGAAAGTGCATTGGTCTATCTCAAAACTCCTCAATTTCTCAACCAGGATATCATGGGGCATGTGTAACCCGTCAGGGCCTGGCACGTTTGTAATGTCCAGTGCCCTGAAGAGTCCCTCGACTTTTAGGTGAGTGACTCTAAACTGTGCCCCTAAGTCCCCGGTCTCATCTGATCCCCCATGTAGATCTCCCCCGTACTGCTTTGGGGAGAACATGAAGGCAAAATAGTCATCTAGCATCTGTGCCTGTTCCCTCACATTATTTTAGTTTATTCTAGCCAATAAAAATGTTAAGCACCTTTCTTGCAGATCAGCATGAATGGAGAACACAGTGCAAGCAACACACTCTGTGTTCATCCTCATCAGTGTGGAAAATAGGTGTTTCCCTTCCTTCACTGGACATCATTAGCAGAATTCCTTCACCTTCACCACCCTCCACCCTTCAAGTATTCTTTCAAAGAGTGTTGCCAAGTTTTCAATAGAATACCGACACAATACTATTATAAAATATTGTATGTTATATTGTATTTTAATTTGCGTGGGCTCAACTAAATTTCAGGCTGAACAGCAATCTGTTGAACCATCTCTACATTCAAGGTGAGGGATAGTTGTTTGGTGTTATTTGACAGGGACAGTTGTTTGGTGTTACTCAAACCCTTATGGATAATTAGGGAAAAACTGAACAGCAAACAGGTGTTACGTTAAGAATAAGTTAATAACTATATGAACAAACAACTGGGTATGTGGGGATAGCCATCTTATATAGCACATGTTGATGAGCAGCTGATCCTGAAGCATTTGTACAAGCATTTCTAACCCACGTTGTCTTTTACTTTATTGAAGAAGGAAGAAAGCAAGCAAGCAAGCAAATGCCTTGGGACCACTTTGTAAGCAATTCATTTTTTAAGCCCATCCCACCAATTTTCGTGGGATTTTGGGGAAAGCAGGACTGCTTTTCATGGAAATTTCCTAAAATGTTATCTGCACAGAAGGGGTAAAACATAGTTTGGGGCATATGCAGCTTTCTTTCCATCACTATGCCTACCTCATTCCAACCAATTATGACATAAAATGGTTAACTCAAAAGAGCTTCTCACCAAAATTTCTAAAGAACTAAGGCAGTGCATGGATCCTATACCAAATGAGTTACAGAGGCAAATCCCAGTCTACCCTTCATCACAACCAGAACCAAAACTTCACATATGATACTGCTAATACTTGCCATGTGTTCACTCTGAAAAGTGGTTGATAGACTGCATGGACCGAGCATAAATGGGTAACTATGGGTGAATTGAACCTTGTCCTGAATGGGGTTGCACTCCCTCTTAGGGACAAGGTCCGCAGCTTGGGAGTGCTCCTCGACCCAGAGCTTTCACTGGAAGCTCAGGTAACAGCAGTGGCGAGGAGTGCTTTCCTCCAGCTTCGGCTAATTCATCAGCTGCGCCCCTATCTGGAGAATGACTGCCTTGCGACAGTGACACATGCGTTGGTGACTTCCCGTTTGGACTTCTGCAACGCGCTCTACGTGGGGCTACCCTTGAAGACGGTCCGGATACTTCAATTGGTCCAAAATAGAGCTGCCAGGCTGCTGACGGGGACTGGACGTTATGTTCACATGACTCCAGTTCTCCGTCAGCTTCACTGGCTTCCCATTGAAGTCCGGGCCCAATTCAAGGTGTTGGTTATGACCTATAAAGCCCTAAACGGCTTGGGTCCTGGTTACCTGAAGGAGCGCTTACATCCTTATATGCCCAGCCGCCCCCTGAGATCGGCGGGAGAGGCCCTTCTCCGGGAGCCCTCCATGGAAGAAGTTAGGAGGGTGGTTACTCGGAGGAGGGCTTTCTCAGCGGTGGCGCCTAAGTTATGGAATGCGCTCCCCAGAGAGGTCTGCCTGGCGCCGTCGTTATTTGTTTTTCGGCGCCAGGCGAAGACCTTTTTATTTAAGCAGTATTTTAAATGTTAATATTATTGAATTTTATTTGGCCAGGGCGGCTTGTTTTATAGTGTATATTTGTATTTTATTGTATATATTTTAAAATGTTATTTTAAATTTTTTTGTTGTAAGCCGCCCCGAGGCTTCGGCGAATGGGGCGGCATAAAAATGTTTTAATAAATAAATAAATAAATAAACTATGCCATTAAATTCATGTGATGGGATCTTTGGGAATATAAGAAGAGTCATGGTGGATCAGACCAAGGTCAATCTAGTTCAGCAGTCTGTTCACACAGTGACCAACCCAAAACAAGATATGAGTGCAAAAGCACTCTCCTGTCCTTGTCCCCAGCAACTGGTGTACATAGCCACATTGCCTCTGCTACTGGAGGGAGCATATAACTATCAGGACTAGTACTGTGAATTTCACTGTTTAACTATGGCTAGTGAAGAAGAGCTTCCTTTTAACTGTCCTGAATCTCCCACTGATCAGCTTCATGGGAAGACCCTGAATTCTAATATTATAAAAGATGGAAAATGTCTCCATACCATGCATAATTTTGTATACCTCTTTCATGATTCCCTTTACTTATTTTTTCTCTAATCACAGATGATATAACCTTTACTCATAGGAAAGTTATTC